CTTTTGTTAACATAAATATTGCTGCTTTGTGCTTTGATCATTTATCATAACCCCCTTTCCTGTGTTCGCTTGTATTGTTGAATAAATGGCCATGTGCCAGATGTCATCAAGAGTTTTAGCACAGGTCTTTCTTAAATGCTCCCTGAACATTTAAGCAATCAATGGAGCAAAATAAAATAAATCTGTGAGTAGTGATAAATATAATCCTGATTAGGATTCAGTTTCATTGGGTTTATTGGAAATGCTTTGCAACTCATAAATCAGAAAGAACAGGTTAGAATCAGACCATGATCAGTTTTGTTTTTGTTTTTTTTAATCCTCATCTGAGGATATTTTCCCACTGATTAAGAGAGAGTGAAAGAAAGAGGGAAAGACAGAAATATCAATGTGAGCAAAACACATTGATTAGTTACCTCCCGCATGAGCCCCGACCAACACCAGAGCTGGGGAGGAGCTTGCAACCGAATCGAACCTGGGATGCTTCTGTCCTTAGGCCTATGCTCTATCCACTGATCCAAACTGGCGAGGGCCAATTTTGTTCTTTAGTGCTGCTCTTCTGTGTTTAAAGGGGGTGCCTAGTAATAACATTCACACTTTTGACCCGGTACCGAAATTACAATCAAGCTGTAAAGAAAATACAAAGTGTTCGTTATTCAAACTGTGTTATCAAAAACTTTGTAAAAACGTTGTAATAAGGGTATTTCCTTGCACATCATATGGAATTGTTCATCAAATGACATTTCTTCATGAATGTCTTTCAGAATGTCTCCTCTTCATCCTCTATATTAAATATAAAATATAGATATCTTATATATCCACTGCCCTGACATCTTGCTTCTCTGATGAAAGTTTGAAGGGGCTTTCCATTTCCTATAGGATAAAGTCCAAAACTAATAAAGTGACAAACTTCTGCCTGCCTTTTATGACTTCCACCTTGTTTATTTAGCCTTCATTGGCTCTTATTCACCCTACTTAAAGTTCCCTCAAAGAGTCTCTTCTAGCCAGGTCTGAATAATCTTATGTAAATTTTATGTCCACTCACCATAATTCATTTGTTTCTATGTCAGTTCATATAATAAAAAATATAGAAACACTTAAAATGATATGGATATTATACTTTAAATCAGAAAGCATATTATGTTTGATTTGAAAAGAATTAACCTCTTTTGATAGGTTTTCCTTGAAGTCATTCTGTTTTTGAGGTTGACCTGGAAATGACTTTTACTCCATGACCTCTTGGTAACTGATGAGAAAGGTGACCCAGAAACCAGAACTCCCCTAATAGCGGGACAGCAGCCCTAGAGTTTAAACTTTGGTGTGAATAATTAGATGATCCATATGCTCACAATGGAAATCTTAACTAACTTTTGAAATTTAAGATAGACACCCATTAGGGACTGCTATTCATTAACTTGTTAATTCAACCAATATTTAGTAAGCCCGTATGTCAGGAACTCCTCCTAGAAATTACAGGAACAAAAGACAATTGTTGGCCTACAGTTGCTCACAATTGAGCTGGGAGATAACAAATGATAAAGATGATAAATGAAATTGTAAACAGAGTAAAAACTTATGTGGGGCAGGTGGGAGAGGGATGAGGAAGGCTTCCTGAAAGCAGTGATTTTTAACAATGTTGGAAGATGACAAGAGTTCACCAATCTAGTACAGTGGACAGAAAGCAATGTGTGCCAAGCCAGGAAGAAGAGCTCAGGGCCTTGGTGTAAGTAATGCTAAGTGTCTGGTCCATCTGGCCTGTGTTTCCTTCCATCCTCCTTCCTACACTCCCTCCTTTCCTCATCTATAGAAATCCTTTCCTACTGGGCCAGGTCTCAGGAACATAATGCTGAGCTCTCAATCTTGTGAGCAAGCTGCAACATGTAAATACATGTGGTAAGTGCCCTAATAGACATAAATATTAGGTGCTTCAGGAGAAGAGAGGAGGGAACTCTGTTCCTGCCTTTGAGATCAAGGAGGGTTTCACAGAGGAGGTAACATTTGAGCAAAAAGCTGTGCAATTGGACCAATATTATAATCGTTTATGTTTAACCAGGGCTCATTTTTGTTGGTAAAAGTCCAGAGATGCCTTGAAGGAAGAACAAACTGTGATGTTCAGTCTAACTTTCTACCTCAGTGATCTGGATTCCTTTTGCTTGTGTGAAGCTTTTTATAAGGTTGTCCACCAGAAACTTATATGAGAGAGAAACATCTATTGCTTGTCTTCTGTATTTGCCCAGTGCCCAAATCGGGGACTGAACCCAAAACCCAGGTGTGTGCCCTGACTGGGAATCAAACTGGCAACCTTTTCGGTGCACAGGATGATGCTCCAACCAAATGAGCCGCACCAGCCAAGTAAAAGCTTGTATTTTTAGATAATTTCCCATTGATATGCTCATCAAGGATCAGTCTTAACTGTCTGGTGTTGTCAGTAATGACAAAAAGGACTTTTTGACCTGACCTGAAAGCCTCTAACAATTTCTTGACGTGAAGATCCCTGGCTAATTTCAGTCTGGAGTGAGGGGGTGGATAAGAACCATAATGCTTTGAAAGCATCATTTAGTGAGCCCTTCAGTTAATGAAGGGCCAAAATCATTTCTCCAAGTGCGGCTGCATTTCCAGTCCACGACAGTTAGTGTTTATCTGTCTTATGGCTTGGAAAGGCTATTTGACTAGAACAAGTTCTAGGCCACGTACGTGACTTCTGGAGAGGAAGGGAATGCCATGATCCCTCCTTACCTTAAAACAGTTGTGCACTTGGGACCCCACAAAGTCTACCCTATGAGAACATTTATTTGATTGTGATGATCACTGAAAACCAAATATCAGCTGAGTAAATCAATTGGCCCTACAAAAATGAGGCAAAACAAAGCAAAAAGAAACCCAAAACAAAACAAACAACAAACTTCATCCCGAATGATCAGGAGTATATCAAGAGTTCTTCAGATCTCTTTGGAGCTGTAAATAGCTCCCAGCCTTAGGAGGTAAATGAGCTTGCGGCAGAGCTCCTGGCTACGTCAGGCTGCAGAGTGAAGACTAGGACAGGTAGACCGTGGGTGTGTGTGACATCAGGAGGC